ACTGCTAAAAGGGCTAACCCTCCGCTCACGTTCGTAGCTGAGTACCGTAGACCGGTTCTTTGGGGCTGAGGATCAGTGCGAACCACGCTTACCTTCATCTGATCTTCACCTTTGGTAATCTCCTTCTCACGTATGCATACGGTAATTGACAAGCAATATGGTCACATGCTGACCACCCCCCGAGGAGGCGTTGATAGTCCAAGCTTCTCCTCCAGAGAAGCGATTGACACGCGGACGGTATCACGCCGTTCGCACAGAGCAACAGACCCGGACGAGGCATGCATGCGATAGAAAGAAAAGTAACGTTCACTGTATGTACGGGCTTTTCATCTTCTTCTCCACCTGGGGAGTGTTGAGTACTCACGCCGCTCACGCAGCTTGGGGAGATCAAATGGAAGAGGGGAAGCATAAGGGCGCCGAGGGACCGGACGCCCTCGCCCCGGCGGGGTACCACACGACCAACAGAAGTTGTAGTGGCCGGGGTTAACCCCCCGACAAACAGTGCACGAGACTGGGGCAAAGGTCATCGAAGCCGCCGACGGCTGCCGAGCATCACCGACGCGGCACCGGGGAACACAAAGCGGGGGCGGCATTGAAAATATATATAATCCATACCAACCGACAACGACACCCGAGGGGTGGCACTTCCCGAAGTTGACATCACTGCCGAAAGTCGTCTTCATACGCCGTCATCGCCGAAAAACTATACTGCCATGGCCGCAGTGAATCATCCGCACAAGGCCAACGAAAAACTCCCGACGCGGCCGCCGGGGCTACCTCTCGACGGTGCACCGCGGCGTGGCGCACCAACGGGAACCAGTACTCCTGCCTATCGGGGACAACGGCCACCGCGCGAGCTTTGCACTCGGCGAGATGCTGAATCACGTGGCCGACCATCACAAGCGGCGGGAAACAGAAACCAAACGCCTCTTCTACCGTTCCAGGGGCTACGGCAACGTCTCGCGCTAGCACATCCACCCCGGCAGCACCCGGGCAGTCGAAGTGCGAGAAAAACGGCAAAGGGGAGCCGGAGGCCGGCGAACGCTGGGCCGACGCGCTACACGCCATCAGATCTACGTTGAACGGGCCAAGAGCCCCCCACAAGACGCGGAAGGCGTCAGGAGCTAGACGGACGATCGAGTCCCGGGACGGCCGCGAGATGGCGTCTGCAACCCCATTTTGGCCGGTGGGGACTCACTTGAGGGACAAGAGGAAACCGCACTGGACTTGCAGGTCAAACAGCTGAACTAGCAGGGCGTGGGTTTCGCAGTTCTTGGCGCGCCCTCGGGCGAATGCGCCGACTGCTGACGGATTATCCACGTTGATGAGGACTTGGGCACGCCGTAAGGCATTCGGGTGGCGCTCGCAGTACTGCCGTAGCATGTGATACAAGGCGTACATCTCCTTCTGGTTGATGTGTTTCGAGAGCCGATCTGGCGGGAAAACCACCCCCGCCCTGAAAGGCCCGTCCTCGACGTAGACGATGCCGCCCCCCCCCACCGACGACGCATCCGGAGCGCCTCCGGTGAGGGCAGCCTTGAAGTGACGAGCTCGCTGCCACGGCCCCTCATGAGTTGTAGACGCGACCCCCAACCAGTGTCGGAGCTCTCCCCGCAAGTCGGCATCCTTGTCCCGGCGGAGGTGGACTCCGCTCACGCCGGACTCATCCGTCGCCATGATGGCCTGGAACAGGGCGTGGGTCCACAGGGGCGCCGGGCGAATCGGCACCGTCATGCTCATGCATTCTCCCGCGATACGCTGCAGGGTACGGAACGATAGCCATCCGTCATCAAGGGCGGCGCGGATCAGAGCGTGTAACTTGTCGAGCTGCTTCTGGGGGATGTGGAAGGAGGCCATGCCGGAATCACACAGGATACCGAGATATTGCTGCACCGTAGTGGGCCGGAGGTCGCACTTGTGTAGGGACAGGAAGCGGCGGCAGAGGAAGGACACCAGCATTCCGCGGTGGGTGGCTTCGCCCGGCGGTCCATTGTACCCGCGCCAGTAGGCCCTGCGTGGCAACCGGATTGCTCTGCAACGAGTCTTCCATGAACGCCAGAGCTGGGAATTCGCAAGGAGTGAAGGAAGGCCGCCTTGGCGTCGCTCAGCACGTGGTAACACCACGGGCTCACGGAGAGCCCACAGGGGAGCACAGACCAGCAGTAGAGCACGCCGCCGTGTTCGAAACCGAGCAACGGCCAAGACGAGGGGTGGATAAAGATGTGGTGGAAAGCACTCGAATCGTCGAGGGAGGCCCTTCCGCAGCGATGTGAGCTACCCGGGCCACTGTATCCATGGAGAAAGCCGGGGGGTCAAGACGTGCGTTGAGCGGCAGACCATCGTACATCAAGCGCGGTTTGGTTTCCTCCACCGATAACGCCATGACCAGGCGCGACCGGGTCGGACCGCCCGGGGCGCGCACGTCGTCCCACTTGACGACGCAACCGCGGTCCACAATCGTTTGCACTTCGCGCGTGACGAACCTTGCGAACTTGGAGGGGACGCGGTTGGAGAAAATAGCCCCCGGGAAGCGGTCCGGACTATACGGCAGACCACCGGATGGGCCGCGGTAGGGCTCCCGAAGGAAGTCCCGGAGGTCTACCCCTTCCCGCAGGTAGGACACCAAACGGCGCCGGTGAGGATTGTCTTTGAGAATGACCCGCTCCCAGAAGCAGGTATGCTGCCGCTCAATCCCTGACACGGACGCCCCGCCGCCCACGCCCGCGTCCCAGGCTGGGGCGCGCCAAGGGACGCTCCTGGCGGGCTCGCGCAAGAGGTCGGCGGTAACGTCGGCCCATGGCGGCGGCGATGTTGGGGCCGGCTTAGCACCCGCGGCCCATTCCCGCTCCTCGGCGGACAGGGAACACGGTGTGGAAGGAAACACAGCCAGGACTTGGCTGTGGCGGAGGTCGAGGTCGCGGAACCACTCCCCAGCATCCACCTACTCGGGGGCGGGCAGCAAACGAAGGCCGGGTGAGGAACGCACCACCTCATCGGCGACAACCGGGAGATTTCGCGACTGTACCACCGCGCTGCAACGGCACGCGGCAGCACGTGCGGGAAACAACCCGAGGTACTGGCGATACAAGCGGTAGGGGAGGGACGGCCAGCGCGTCGGCTCCTCTTGGTTAGGCAACGTCAACCGTGCCCACTACAAGAAATGGCAGGGATGGCGACGAGGGGACGGGACGCAGCATCGGGGCGGCGACCCAGGGCTAGACGCGAGGCAGACAAATCTAGGGTTTTCTACTAGGAGCGAAAGGTAATAAAACATCATGTCTGTAACGGTGGAGTAGGGCCCCGCCGCTGCCCCACGGGCGCGCGTGGGAATGGGCACGCCGGGACTACCCGCGAGCATCCACCCGAGAGACAGACGAGGCATACATTGGATAAAGGAAGCAGCATCGTGTCTGCGGCGAAGGGCTAGCGACGGAGCAGCCGTGATTCTAGGGTTCATCTACGGGCGAGGCAGACGCCGAGACGATGGTTGCTAACGTTGGATACAGGACGCAGCATCGTGTCTGCGACAGATAGCTAGAGACAAATCAGTGGTTATTCTAAGGTTCACCTAACGTCGAAACGATGCCAAGGATCCAGGCGAGCCGTCGAGAAAAGTTGACGGGGCACAGAAACACGGCAACGAGACTCCGGGCCATTCCTACGATCATTCAAGAGACAAACTAGTGCAAGCACACTGCGAATGTGATAGGAAATCATCGCGGCAAGAGTCGCGCGCGTGTCTGTGACGAAGAAATACAAACTGCCGCTCCTCGTGGCGCGGAGAAAGTGCGCACTGCGGTGAGGGCCTGGGCAAACTATACATCGGGCGGCAAAAGGGAAAGCGACGAATCCGGTGGCGCCCGCCGCTTCGGAACTCCCTGGCAGGCAAAATACTGCCGAGACGGGGACAGTAAGCCCCAGAGGAACATTTGTAATTATGCAACCAAGGAGATGAAGGCAGGCTCTGAGCGAGCAAACGCGCCCGTACCGACTACAATTATGCCCGGCAGCGCGGGTGCACAGCTAGTTGGACGAAAAGTGGCGAACGGAACAGAGGAGCACGAACCAACTCAATCCAGACCAAGCAGGCTGTTGCTAAGGATACGCAGCCGCACGAAGTAACAGGTGAACCCCACGCAGGGGTGGAAACCTAAACCGACCGAACACTATACGAACTCGAACCCGCGAATACACACGCATACGAGAGCGAAACGAGGACTACCGGTACACGGGGCAGGGGCGAAACGAACACCTCGCGAACGCGCCCACGCTGACACGCTAACTGGGAAACAAACATGTCGCGAAACGCGCAAATACTCTATCACGCACGCACACGAAGGCGAGACGGGGACTACGAGTTCACGGAAACTTCGGGAAAGTACACTTGCGGCCGCGGTGGCCGCCTGGCCTGCACTTGAAACACTCTGCGAAGGCACACGTGGAGTGGTTGTGCTGGTAGTTCCTCCCGGCGGTATTGCAGTTCTCACAGACGTGGCCGTGAGGGTCGGAGACAACCGCGTCCTGGGCAGCCCGGAGCACCTTGATGTAGTCCTCCCGCGCTTAGATCGCCTGGACAGAGGGAAACCGCGACAGGGAAGAGCGGACCCGCCCCACTCCCCCCCCACCCCGGCTTTGCTTTTGCCCCCGCGACCTTGGCTGGCCGCCGCCGGGGTCGGAATCGGCGGGAGAGCAGGCAGCGGGTTTGTTGACAACGTTCGCGAAAAAGTGCCATGAAGGGACATGTAGAAGTAGTCCCTTCGTCGTTGATGCGGCACAATAAAAACCGCCGCCTCGTCGACACCTCTAGAGGGCAAACAGGGAAGCGTCCGACCGCTTTATCGCCCCCTTACGCCTAGCGCGGCGACCAGTACGAACGTGGTGTTCGCACCCGGACAGCTGCGGCCCATAATAGTACTTTGTGACGACTCTGCACGGCGAAGCCGGCGAAACAATCGCCCGCCAAGAAGGCCATCGACGGAACAAGGAGGTCCTCCTTGGGCAGGGTCGGGGCGCTGTCGTCGCCTAAGGACAAGCCGCGCTGGAGATGAAAAGATAATTCCTCTAGCGGCAATAATATGGGAGTGCTGTTGAGGGAAGGATCATTATTTCCTGGAGTGCTGTTGAGGAAGGATCACCAATTATTTCCTGGAGTGCTGTTGAGGAGGGAAGGATCACCATTTCCTGACGGAGGCAAAGAATCCGATCTCAATATTTTTTTTCAACCAATCTCGCTGAGGATAAAGGGGTACCGTGGGGAAAACAACATTACTCTTGTACATGCCTATGGGAAAAAATCACCAATCCCAAAAGAAGACGGGTAGGGGTGATTTCTAATTCAAAAAATGCAGCTACAGCTCCCCGCTGAAAGTCTCGCTGAGCCATCTCCGTTGTCGGACCACGACATGTCGACGCAAGATGACATCCAAGCCACCGCTGCACGGGAAATGGCACGGGAGGCTGCAATGCGCTTACGCCTGGCTGGAGATCGTAACAAGCTTGGAATCAAACTGACTGCCGATGTCCTGAGGGCATTCAAACTTGTGCTGATGGAGACGGGGGGGAAGATGCTGGGCCAGCGAGGCCAGAAGTCCTTCCAGGCTTGGCCGATATCGTACGCGGCGATCGTCACCAAGCAGAGCAAGCAGATGTCCGCGACTGAACGGGAGGAAGCGTGCACGAAACCCTCGTGGAATTCGCTATTCCTCAGTTTATTGTGCTGTGCAAGGAGGCAGCCACCGCCCTGGGCCTGCCGTTGCCGTTGGACCTGGAGACGAAGATGTACCTCACAACCTTGGGATCAGGTAGCCCATCTGTACACACTACCGTAGGAATCTCTCGGGCCTTGTGTTTGTAGAGCATCAAGCGAGAGCTGCTTGCATTACGGCAGGGGCGTGGGGCGTACCGAGAGAAAACGATCGCAATTGGCACGTTTTGCCTTGGCTGGCGGGCGCTTCTGGCTGAGGTAACAGCAACGTAGGGAACCGTACGTATGTGCTACTACAGCCGTCATAGTACTGTTTTAGTTGCCGCTATGAATTATTGTCCTTCTCCACAACTCACGTTTCCCCTTGTCTACGTTAGGACGAAGTCGCGGCGAGCAAATATTGACAAAATACACAGAAATCGAAAATGTTTTTGGCTGGATCAATCCGTAGCAGGCCGTTCGCAGCCAAGATTGTTGCTCCGGATATCTCAAGCCAAACCCCGCAGCATCTCATGTCGGCATGCAGACACTAAATTTGATAGTGAGCGTGAGATACTTCTACTATAATAGTCCCCGCCATTGCGTTGCGTGCACACCACCAGACGTCAGGTCCATGTCGCACCCGCTACCTCTGTTGCACTTTCGCACTCTCGCGATCCCCTCTCTCTTGCCTCCCCCTCTTTTCTCAGCAGCGTACATACCGGTAGTTCGTATCTACATGTATCTTTTGCTGCATTCGTCGGTAAACATGCTGGACCCCCATCGAATGCGACATACACACGCTGTCTGCAGGTGCCCACCCTGCTCGGACCTTCTTGCAAGTCGAGAAATCCGCGTGGGGCAAGTTCACGCAGCTGAAGACAGCCTTCACGAGAGATGTTCTGGAGAAGATGGACAAGTGAGAGGTCATTGTGTACCGTAGCAACCGGGATTCCCCTTCCCCCCCCCCAAACGGTTTCCCCCCACACACACCACCTTTTCGGCCTGGAAGCATTCGCACGGGGTTTTCCTCCCGGGGTAGATGAAAAAAAAAAATCCCCCCGGGTATCGTGGATTTCCCCCCGGGGTAGATCGAGTTTAGCGGGGGAAAAGTTCCCCCCCCTCCGGAATGGTGGTGCTGTCCTACTTGTGAGTCGATTCGTGGCGTCGCGAAGCTTTGAAGGCATAATTCATTTGGGCGTTTTCATTTTTTTATCTCCACTCTAATAATAATCCAGAAAAAATAAAAGAAAATCAGAACACAGCAGCGCCGAAGCAAAATAAAAAAAAACGACAAGACCGAAAGAAAACGTGTACAGTCACCCGCTCTACTTTGTGAGCTGCACGACAAACTACGGTTGTGGTGGGTCCCCATCGCTGCACTTGAGCCGGCTGTACTTCAGCACCTCGAGCTTCTGAGAGTTCTCATAGGCGTTGCGCCCGCTCCTGCCGGATACCCTCCGCAGCGTCAAGGAAGGCTGCGGGTACTCTCGACACGGCGGGCCCTTTTTCTGCTTCTTAGCACCACCAGAAGTCAAACTCCCCCACCTGTTCCTCTCCTTCCTCTTGTCGGTTTTGTCGCTATCCCCCTTCACCCCTTGCTGCCCAGATGGTTGTTCGTTTAATTTATCCATCGCGCATTCGCCGTTGCTGTCTGTGTGTGTGGACCACGGTTTAAATATTGGTACATACCCCCCGGGGTAGACTCCCCCCGGGGTAGCGGTTAAAAAAAAAACCCCCCCCCCCCCGGGTATGAGATGTGGGAAGGGATTAGTGGAATGGTAAAAAAGACCGCGCAAGGGGGGGATACAGGGGTAGCAACTTTGCGAGGTGTGAACGGTGGATTAGTCAGCAGTGGGAAGGGAAAAAGGGAAGTTCTAGCAGGACACTACAAGAAACTTGGAGTGCCCTCGGAGAATGAAGCTATTGACCAAGTGGTTAAGAAGGAAGTGGACGCATGGGCCCAAAAAGAAGAAGAGACATCGAAGGCAGACGTTGGGAACGTAGAACTAGAAAAGGAGTTCACTGAGGACGAGGTTGAGGCGTGTGTGAACAAGCTGAAGTGCCACAAAGCAGCAGGAGCGGATGGGATAGTCAACGAGTTCATGAAGTTTGGGGGGAAGGGGATGATCCAGCTGATGGTACTGCTATACAATTGGGTGTGGAAAAACGAGTATACGCATCTTAGAAGGAGGGAAGGAGTAGTTGTGAACTTGTTTAAGGAAGGAGACAAGACT